TGTGTGTCTGTCAAAACTTATTTTCAACACAAAACAGTATAATTTTAATTTCGTTGGTTAAATTTAGTTTAATTAACATCGTTTTATAGTTAAATTAATATTGAGTAGGAACAGTGGCAATCTATAGGAATTATTAAAAATAACTCAATTGAGTATAATTTGACACTACGAATTTACGCTGTAAAATATTAAAGAATGAAATTTAAACCAATAGCTTGAGTTAAATAACAAAATGTTATTTATAACTACCATATATGTCGTAATTTATTATTTTAACATAAAACAGTCTTATTTTAACTTCATTGATTTAGTTAAATTAACGACATATTGTAGGTAAAAGCAGTGAACAGGAGCAGTGGCGACCTGTAGGAATGGTTAAAAATAACTCAATTGAGTATAATTTGAAGCTACGAATTAAACAGTGTACGACAACACGGATAAACTTAATTCGATCGTTGCGTGGCCGAGCACGTTTCTTCCCAGCTTCTTAAGCTTTCCCTCGTGATCTCGTTTCAGAATGATCACCGCGTTACCGGTACCTTCGGTGAAGGTCTTTCACAAGACCTACTACCAGGAGAAGAGCTCGCGGATAGGAAACAGCCAGCCGGGTAGCCCGCTGGCGGAGAGCGAGGCGGTGCTAGATAAGGAACCTCCGGAGTACTATTTCTGCGGAAAGGTATATATAAGAACACCATTGTCTTTTACACGTTGCTCGCTACTGATCGTGTGGAAATCGCGGTACCAATAGCGGTGTTATTACTCCAGGTCAATTCGCTGTACGTCGTCGTCGGCTCGCTGTTGCTGGGAGCGGTGGTGCTGGTCGTCGGTCTGGTTCAACTCGCGCCGGGCGCGGAGGCAGCCCGGAACTCGGCGGCCCTGATCGCCACCGGAAGCGGCCTCCTCGTGATAGGGGTGTTCCTCGCGCCCCTGCGAGCCGTCTGCATCAGGAAGCAGAGCGCGGCCCAGAAGGACGGCACCCATCAGCGCAGCGTCACCAGCATAGACATGCTGCTGGCCCAGCACAGGTAAAGCGATCCGTCGGTGTTCGTCAGCCTCTTCTAATTGAGGTGTAAACAAAGAAGAGAAAAAGAAACATTCGGAATTATCTCTTATGTCTATTTCTACCAATGCAGATTAACTTTAATTTCAGTTTAATTTACTTTTTATCTTTTTCTAATTCTTAGAACTAGAAAAAGATAAGTTCAATCGAGATTAAAGTTAATATACATTGTTGGGATAAAACGTTAGAGTATAAAAAATGTGTTAAAGAGTTTTGTGATCTTTGTAACACAATCCTCGTACAGACATTACATCGAAATCGAAGTTGGCAGTCGAGTCATTTCTTGCTCGAGAAAGATATACGGCTACCTTTGAGAGATCCGTTTCAAAGTCCTGTTTCGCATCTTGTTCTCTTATTCACGCGTTTCATCAGCATCATGATCTCCGTTGTATCGGCAGGGACTTCACGGTCCTGACGCCCGACGAGCTCGAGGACCTCGTGGGCCGGCCGGCGTCCAACAATCTGGAGAACAAGCCGCACCGGCAGGGCCACAACACCTAGGTACCGATCGCCTCGAGGAGGGCACCGCCTTCCGCGTCGTCATCGTCCCCGCCGTGCTCGAGCACCACCACGCCGCCGTCGTCCGCCGCGTCGCCGCCAGGACCAAGCTCCTCCATTCTCTACACGCATCGTTACGATACGCGCGAGCATAGTTTGGTTTAAAATCGATGTGCACATCACACCCGCCGCCGTCATTAGCGTTTAGGGCCGCAAGGGCCTCCTCACGCAAATTTTCTAACGCGTGCACCGCGCAGCCGAGGGTCCCGCGAGTGGGACAAGGGTCTTTTCGGGAAGGGGGTAGGCTTAAAGAAACGTAAAACTCGTCGCCGCGAGCGAGGAGACTAGCCGATGCACGACACGTAGATTTCATCGTTTCACCAAAAATATTCCGACGACGATTCAGAGAGGCTTCGTTGATTCAACCCGCCGTCGAGCCGAATCACGTGTGCGAAACGGTTTTTACAGATGCGTGTGTATACGAATTCGAAATCTCATAAGCGTCTTTGAGAAACATATGCTTTGTATTTTACGTATCGCTTGCACGTATTTTGCATTCTCTCGAGCGTAAAAATTAAATCTCCTGCGGAACACGCTCTTTTTCTGTTCTCCGGAATGTGACTGTCAAGGATACTTTCAATTGCAAACGCTTTGCGGTTTGATTACTGAAATTTTAACAATGATATTTCCACGCTGCAGAAAAATATATACTTTAATCTTTAATATCTCTAAAAAAATGTTTTAGTCAATCTGTAATGACGGGTGTGTTATTTTCTCAAAGACTAAATTGTGTTCAATTCACGAATGAATGAAGTACGATACCGAGTAACTTCGTCGCGAATCTTCATCTCGATTTAAGTATAGATACATACATAAATAAATAAATATATATATATAGCGTTGTATAAGACACACTTACGATAGGATTTGAAAATTTTCGCGATTTGTTATAGGGCGATAAAGAGGAAAAGACGAGATCGCGCGCGTAAAGAGGATCTTCTCGCAAGTCTCGCGAATACTTGTGTGTTCGTTAAATATTGAAAAATGCCGTCTTATACGGAGGTATGCGCGATATGTATAGCCCCGTGTCGACAGGCCACGTATAATGTCAAGATCATTTGCGGGAGGAAAGGGTAAAACGACACAATAAATCGGGATTGGATGAGTAACGACGAACCTCACGAGCAATGAAACATACCGAGATCGATATAATACGCTTGTACAAAGTGGCGTGCAAAAAGTGGGAATCAGCAGAGCGGGTGTGCACGTTCGTATGCGTGTGTGTGTGTATGCATTGAGTTTCAAAGTCCTCGGCAAAAATTTGTGCGCCAGGCGCAATTAGATTTCTCTCACCTTCGAAACTTCTGAGCTTCTAATTGTTCGTCCGGGATACGGGACCTTGATTTATAAATTCTCCGTCGAAAACGAGGTCGCCGCGAGGCCGCGAGAATGCCCGAGTATGCTGATCTCTACCTTTTGCGCGAACCATTATATATAGACGCGGACGTTCAGGATGGGTATCGGATATCGAATCAACAACGGTCTCTCTCTCCCTCTCTCTCTCTCGTTAGGGAAACGAGAAATCTGATATTTATCCTGGCCGCAGCGAGTTTATCGATCCCATCTTTGATAGAGCGTCTCCGGCTCGGGGGTTTCGATTCTTTAGGGGGCGGAAGTTATTATTTCGTGGCCGAGAATGAGAAAGTACGCGGAAATTACGCCTAACGTAGAAATATAAATCAAAATACATAGGAGACTAATGGATAAGTGATTCCGATCCGCATTTATTCACTTTGTACGCTAAAAGAGGGTATCGTTTAGGTTTATTCTTAAAAATATTCCGTAAGATTATTATCGTAAAACAGGCAGATTCTAACATATTCATGCGTTTGACCATTGCAAACGCAATCTCGTCAGATTGCACTGTTTAATTGGGAATTGACAAATTGACACCCAACAAAATACACTCGATACGTGTCTGTTATAGAATTTACAAAATCGGTTGAAACTTCGGTTGAAACTTTGGTTGAAAGTAACGATATTGTCTAAGTCTCGAGCTTCTTGTGTAAGGGTATTAATTTCGAGCGAGCGAAATGCAGCTTCTCTCGAAGAGGAAACATATCTACCGAGACGGCTACGAGTAGAGATATATTTTTATCATATCATTCTAGCGAATACGCGCGAAGGAGGGAGACGGCGATTAAGAGATTAAAAAAAAACTGTCCACTGTTTATCAATTAAAAAAAAAAAGGTTTGCATTCGCCGTAAGATTCCTATTGAATGTTTGCCTTAATTTCTGACGACTATAGAGATCGCCATTAAACATTAACAATAAATTCTATTTGAGAAATTCTAGTCGCGGGCGAGGGAAAAGCGCGGTTTAATCATATTTTAAAGTTCAACCCTTAAATTCGGTGTATTCGAACACCGTTCGTCGCGCGACCGAGGGAGAAACCCTCGCCAGGATATCATTTGCTGCGGTAGGACTTGAACGCGACCTTTTCGGGCGAGGTGCAACAGGAAGAGATGAACCCGCGGATATATTATCAGTTAACAACAATGAAATGTTACATTTGGAAGAGGAGCTCGGAAATCCACCGGGTGATTCCGCGTCTGAAAAAGTTAACACCACGGTGTTCCCAGTTGCACGAAAAGATCGGACGTAATTTTAAGAGATTCAACGCACAGAATTAGCCGTAAGCATTTTTATAATGGTGTTCTATGTATATTAATACTATTGCTAATACTGTTACTCGTCACACTCACACAAACACGAACAAACGAACAAACAAACGAACAAACAAACAAACAAACAAACAAACTAACTAACTAACACACACACAGAAACACAGCCCGATTGTGATCCGGCCGCGAATCGGTCGGCGGAAGTGTTCTTCGTACATGTTGAAATCATCATTCCTAGGACTGAATAGTAAACACGCGCCTAGCCTTGTACATATACGAACGTTTGTAACGCGAGAACAAAACAGAAAAGAAGACAAACCGGGATCGGTGATGCAACTGATCTTTTGAGACGAGATTTGCCGATTTTTAATTAACGTTTAAAGCAGATCGTGCGAAGATCTTTCGCGGAAACATCCGTCAGCCGCGATTGCAGCGTTTCTCTAGAATCAACGCATCTCATAAATATATCGCCGGATTTGTTTGACCGTGAAGATATAACGGTCGATCTTCGGGATGTTCGTTCCAACTAAAACAAGTTCGTTATTTCCAGGAAACACGATCGTCCGTTCGATTGACGTAAATTGATGATTAATCGAGGAAATTTTTAATGGAATTTCTTACGTTGGCGCTCTCGAAAGTGGATTCAGCCACGTGTCAATTTAATTTTATCGAGTTCCAACACGTGGACTCTAAAACGCCTATGAGACTAGCCGAGACGCTGCAATCGCGTCGCTGTCTCGCGTCGCACGAAGAAAATATCTCCGTATCCGTGCTGCATATAAAAATGCATCGCTTAATCTTATGACGTAACAGTATAATATCGTATCGAGAAAGTTTTACCGGATAAGACTTAGACTTTAATAAGGTAGCGCGTAAATGTAAGAGGAATGTTATATCGTGAAGCGTTCGCGATGACGCGGTCATCATTGTTGAGGCTGGCCGTCTTGGGGCGAGATAAAAAGGGGATGCGCGATCTTTCGTTATTTTATTCCGTATTGCTGCTGCAGTAACGCATAGTTTTACTGCGAAATTGCTATTTATATACGATAACGATTATATGTATATAATATATATTATATATAATATTATGTTATATTATATATTATAATATTATATGTATATCGGTGATGCGGTGTCATACGTCATAATGTATTCGAGTCACACGGGGTTTTCGACGTGAGGGGCACCGAACCCCATCTATCACTGCCAAAGATTCATCGTAAAGCAAGAAATGCGGACGTCAAGGCAATCACGAAGAACGTCGGCTAAAAACAGTAAAACCGCGGCTGCGTCAATCGAAACCTCAACAATATGTTCCGCCATTGTGAACATGTCGAAGACATTTTGCGTATAGAACAGCTATGAAATATACGATATATTATACATTACAGATATTTTATCGGGAACATTTTGACTTGCTTAAAAAGTTGCGTTGATCCGTATATTTTGTAAGCGAAGATTATCAATAGCAGTTATATATAATAAATATTACTACTACGATACCTATGTCGCCGCGATCATTAATTATACCTCGAATCTCCTCCTTCAATCTCAGCAACACTAGAAAAAAAATATTAAATATATATTTATAAAATTAGTCCGTATGAAAATCTATGAAATTAATCTATAGGTCTATATCTATAAAAAAAAGGCAAGATTTGTCGCTCAAAAATCGCGTGGAAACGCGGAAGCAATAGGAAAGCAGGTGAACGACAGAGAGTAAATAGCACGAGAGCTTGACTCTGGTCGTTATAATTTGTCAATAAAAGATTTATTCGTAATTAAATCGAATTAGGGATTAAATGATATACATGCAAAGAAATCGCGAATCTTTCTTTTCTCTAATACTCTTCCTTGACATATTTATATATATGTATATACTCTGCAAATTTTACGTTCTCTTTACATTTCTTTTCACCTTCTCCTGTAACTATATACGAAAATTGTTATTAAAAGGCTCTCCGATACAGTGACATGTACCGTTCAATTTTCTAAACACTAAACATACAAACGTTAAAAATCATGAGATACGATAACTTGCGGTAAAAACATAATAAAACGCTTATTTTTATTTGGATCATTAGTAGCTATGGGGGTAAAGTACAGGTTTTCAACGACAATATGTTGGCACTGTCACTTTAGGACGTTTCTTGGATTCCATTTCTGAAAAGAATTCTTTAATATCTTCTTCACGTACGACCTTCTTGTTTTCAGCAAACTTCTGTAAATATTGCATGAGCCGTTCCTTCATATTGTTGTATTCTGTGAACGATATAAACAGTTTAACGTTAATCGAAAGAAAGATTTATTTTTTGAAAGATTTAACGTTTTCGAAAACATTTCATTAGAATAACTACACAATCTCTGTAATTTTACCTTCAATCGCTGTTAACTTTTGTACGTGCCCCATGCTGGCAAGAGCCTTCATGCCTTTCTCATATTGAGATTCCTGTTTGTTCATTTTGCCCGCTTCCTCATACGCTTGTACGCTGTCTTTTGGGTCGAGCAGAAATGCAACGTCTTTTGCACTATACAACTGTAATAATGGTAAAAAGTACGATAAAAGACTGTCACATACAAAGAAATCTATCTGAGCTTTTAATATAATAATAAAAGTATCTGAAAAGTCGATATCTCACCGATTTGCACTCGTCGCAAGTACACAACGCGGTTCTCCAACCCTCTATCCAAAAACAGCTTCCCTTAGCATCGGCACAGCTATGTTTTGGCATTTGACATCCTTTTGGCAACTCACTGACATCTACCTCCTCGTTTTTCTCAGCTACATCCGCTTTTGCATCGGCTTTCTTTGGGACTGCTAGCAGCAAAATAACATACCAATAAGTTTACAATTAAAGCAACTTTCGGGTGTGATAAAAGTTTTAATAACCTGCATATTTCGTTGCATATTTCCACAGAAAGTTGTGCTCTCTCATACAGCCTGTGCAGATCATTTCATCGTACGCGTTATCTGCTGGCGCGTTGTTGCCGCAATCTAGATGCTGAAGAAAAATTGCATTAGACATAAAAATTTTCAGCGTCACAGAAGGATCACCCTGCATTATTTACCTTCAAGTGATACCAATCCTCGCATATTACACACTGCAGCATATCATCTTCATCGCCTTCCGGATCGGGATAAGGTCTCGCACAGGTACAATAAACCCCATCAAAGTTCTGATTGTATTTATTTTCGGTATTGGTAGCGGACTTGAGCTAAAAAGCACAACGAGCAAGGTTAATCGAGGCAAGTATAACTTTATATAAAACATACATCTCATAGAAAACCCATTACCTTCTCTAGATTGCACTGCTTGCCATCAAACTTGGTATTTCCACAGTCGCACCTGAAGTGCCGCTTCGTATACAGCTCCACAAGTTCGTGACCCTCGTGACAGTGAAAGCTGCACGCCAAGCACACGGCAGCTTGGACCTTGTTTGAGCAGCACGTCTTGCACGCGTACAACGCCTGTCTTATGTATCCCTGCGAACAGTCGTTCAAGAACAAAAGCGTCAGCCAAGTCAACGGATGGAGAACGGAACAGGGTGAATCGCGACTCTGTCGCGAGCGAGGAGGTCAAAAGTAGCGTACCTTGCTGTAAGTACAATTCTGGTCGTCGGACGCGCCCAGAACGGCGTATGCGTCCTCCTCGAGCTGATTTTCCACTTGGAGAACGTCGAGCATCGTGACGGAGCTATCGTCCTCCACGGACTCGGCCAGCTTGTCGGACATGGCTCCGATCTCCGTTGCGAAACGTGGAAGGAAGACGACGACGACGACGATGGCGACGACGAAGGTCCACCCCGCGGGTAGATCGCGGGACAAGGGAATTCGAAATCGGGGCTGTGAACGGCTTCCACGGGCAGCCGAGGGCGCGGAAGGTTAAGATCGAAACTGCGAGCGTCGTACGACTCACGGGCTGACGGCGACGCGTTCGGCGCGACGCATCTTATCGACCTTGCCAAACTTTCGTCCTTTTCCGACGAAGGAACCGCGCGTGCTTCCCGGGCTCTTCCCCTCAACCGCGTCGCATCGGGACGTCAACGGCGATCCTCGTCACGTCGCGGCATGCCGGAGAGAGACGCAATCGCGATTCAAAACCCCCAGGGTCACCAAACGTCCCGTCAAAACGCGCGTACACTCATGGACAAAAAGTGCGCGGCGTTTCCCTCCAACGCAACAACGGACTGCCTGCGCGCGCGCGTGCGCGCATTCGCGTCCAAATGAAAGATATGACAATGCATGCTTTCTCAGGGGACATATGGAGTTTAGACATTTTATTCGAACGGGATTTAGATTCCAAATCCTTTTTGATTCCGTACTTGTGCGAAATTTGTCGCTCCTTTATCGAGATTATAGTCGAGATTGGTCGGAACGGGCGTCTCCCGACTCGGAATTGTCCAGGGAATGTATAGCTCGAGAGCAAATTCGATTCAAAATTTGCGTTCATCCAGGAGATTGTAATCTGAAGAAAGAAATAAAAATCAAATTCGAATTAAATTATCGAAAAAGAGAGAGTTATACCTATATATAAGAAAAAAAAACTGTCGTAATCAAACTCCGATGGAATATTATCGATTACGAATATCGCGTTCCAAAACGCATCCGAGGGTAATGCGCGCGCGCGTTTGAGTACTTATTTGTTTAAAAATTGTAAAAAAATTAATATAATCTATTTTAAAATTAACTACTGACCAGAAGATAAAGAAATTGCTACGCAGCTGGGCTACGAGCAATTTCTTTATATTATTCGTTCGACGCATTCGCTCGGCTGTTTCGCCGGCTTAAAAACGGGGCCCGCCAAGAAATTTCGATGATTGTCAAAAATCAAACTTACCCGGCTCAACGGTTATTACAAAGATTTTAATGTATAGCTCTCTCTCTTGACAAAAGAAAGATTGGAAATTCCTTCGATCTGTATACGTCGGCAACCCAGTATTGTGGCGTCCCCTGAAATATCGTAGACGACTGAATAGAACTAATAGGCCAAATGGTGATCCGATCGATGAATGTATGCCAAATCAATCTGTAAAAAAAAAGATACATTTTTGGATTGATAAAAAGATCAAGAAATATGACGCAAAGAATTTTGAGAATTATTGCAAGTAATGATATACGTGTATTATTACCGTTATTACTACCACAACTCTTATCACTTATATATTATATAAAATATTATTATATACAGAATGTTATATAGTCTAATCGCAATTTTGTTTTTTTGTACAAGAACAATGTAAAAGTTATTTTTCTAATTATTTTTCAATTATTCTTATTATTTTATATATATATATACACACAATATATATATATGTGTGCATATAAGAGAAAGAAATAAATGGAAAAATTTTATTAATGCTTCGGAAATACAATAACAAACATTGAAACAAGTGGTTCTTTTTTAAATACGTCGTTGTGATGAAGTTAATTAATTATCTCGATGTATCAATAATTATTCATTAGCATGTTAAACTTATCGTTACGAGAATATAGAATTATAACCGCCGAATGTAATATAACGCAAAATTAACAAAGAAAATTACTGACAATTAATAACAGAACAAATAATGGTAGAAATATAAGAAATCAATGACACAGGACTTTCGTGTGTGTGCGCGCGCGCGCGTATGTCCAAGGTATTTTCAACCTCCACATCGATCCGGCAAAATTTAAACTGAACGGTAGCGT